TATTTAGTATATCAAGCATCCAGTTTCCCGCGGCTTTCCCTGCTTCTCTCAATGCCTCCGCCGGTAGACCGTCTGGGCCCGGTGCTTTTTCCACCTTCAGGTCCTCGAGGGCTAGGGACAGCTGCTTCGCTGAGAACTCCACCCGCTCCCCCGTTGGCAGCCTCTCCGACCTGTTTTCTGCTACCACCGGAAAGAGCTGTCTGGCAATCTCCTGTTTAGTCTCCCCATCTATCTCATATGGCTTACCACCCAACTTGCCCATAACGATTTTAAATGCATCACCCCAGATGTTATTTTCCGTTTCCTCGATCATACTCTTCCAATGTGTCCTTTTGGATCTCTTGATTAAATTCTTGAGTTCCCTTCTCGAGTTCTTGTACTCCTCTTCCAGACTGTCTATTTCCTCCCTGTCTCTCGTCCTGGCTCTCCCTAGCGCTCTCCTCTGCCTGCCACAGTTTTTCCTAGCCTCCGCGATGGCCTGGTCCCACCAGTATGGCATTTCCCCGTCCCGACTAACTGTCTTAGGGCCCAAGTAATCTCTATAAGCGTCTTGCATCGCTTTTGTGAAGCTGCTGACCGAGCTCGCTTGTCCGCGCCTGAGATCGCTTATCCCCATCAAAGCCTTGAACACCTCCCAATCCTTATCTCTGGGCTGTGTCCTTATGTATGGCACCTTTTGTCCCTTCACCGTAAAGAAAATATACTGGTGATTGGTCCCTGTCTCCTGGTCCAGGACCTCCCAGTCTCTTGTCTGGCGTGCCAAACTCTACGAAGCACACGTTATGTCGATGTAAGACATCCCCCGTCCCCTGACGAAAGTCGGTTTCTCTCCATTATTTAAAATGACCAAATCCAGAGCGGCCATTCCCTCTGTCAGATATGAGCTTCTTCTGTCAGTCACCGGGGAACCCCAGCAGCCAGACTTAGCGTTGACGTCCCCCAGTAAAATGTATTTCCCGTTTTCTTCCGCGCATGCTCTGAGGATTTCATCCACCTTCTTCTCAAAAAACCTCTGATGTAAATTAGGGGAAATATAACAGCATATTAGGCTCATTTCCGCGAGCCGCAGAACTAAAAAACCCGATTTTATCTTCACATTGGTCACCTTAATATTTCTATTTCGTATGAAGACCGCCACGTCAACATTTTTGTCTGCAATCCACCTGCCTTTAGCCGCCAATGCCTTATTTGGCTCACCTATCACTAACAAGGCCACACACAACTCTGCCGCGGTGGCGAACGCTATGTCGTGGGCTACCCTGTCTATCCAGATTTGATTGGATTATCCTAATATCCTGAGTGTTCATTTATTTATTTAAGTAGCGCCACTTAGAGCTTTCCCCCGATCTTAGCCATTGCCCTTGCTCCCGTCAAAGCCCTACGGAACTCAGGACACGACCCCGAGCCTGCCACGTGGCCCGACTCCTTACAGTTCAAACATTTTGCTTCCTCCCCACAGGTCTCCGCCTTATGCCTCTCGATCCCGCATCTTCTACAACATAGGCTGCGATCCTCTCCTCTGCATTCCTTTCTTGTGTGACCATACCCCCAACACCTATAACACTGTATTACCCTCAGCCTCTCTGTCACCGAGCAGGAATTTAGCCCGACCCTCAGTCTGCCCGCCCCCAACAGTTGCTCTGCCTTATCTTGGGGAAGCCTCAACGACACCGCTTGATTTCCACCGTAGCATGGTCGCAACTCCCCCATTTTGTACTCCTCGCCTCGGATACCCAATTCGTCCCTAATGGCCTCCATCACGTCCTCTTTAGTGACCAGCTCATCCATATCCTTGATGACCACTACTTTTTCTTTCATCCCCCCAGCACCTTAATTTGCCGTTCTCCTACCATGTCCCTTAATCCTGTCCGTAGCGTTTCCATCGCGCTCGTCTGACTTTTGTCCATGACAATAATCATCTTACCATCTTTAGCCTTTCTTATTACCCTAATTCCTTTTGCCGCGTCCGATTTCGGCGCAACCTTCTCTTTCACTTCTTTTAATAGATCGGCGTACGACTTTCCCTCATGGCTGATCATTACCACCTCCGTTTTCTTCGCTCTCACCTTGTTCTGATGCATCTCCTGATCCACGTATATCAAGCATCTTATTCCTGAGCCCCTGAAAATCTTCTCCGCCACCTTTCTTGTTAATGCCCCTCTTCTGTCGGGTGTTGGCGGATACAACGCCACAGTACTCCTGTTTCGGATCATACGGTCCCTAATATCCCCTAGCGCGTCGTACCAATCCTGCGGTTCATTGATCTCTGCCTTATATATATATTCTTAATCCTTTCTATCTCCCCCTCCTTCGTTTCTACCCTGGTGTTAACAGACAGTGCAGTTACCCTACCCTCCATCTCCAGAACCTCCGGATATCTATCCAAGAGCACCTTGCTGATGCTTGCGTTTCTTCCTGCCCCAACATCCCTCTCCTGCAAAACTACCAGGTCCGCTTCTTTGTCCGCCATAAGGGGTGATCCCACCTCCATGAAGGCCGCTTTAAAAAACTCCTCCTTCCACTCTTTGTCTTTCAGGCGGCGAATGTCCTCCAAACACTTTGCCCCCTCCAGCATCTTTTCGTCCATAACTGAGCTCCTGTTCCGGCTCTCGCTTGGACCTAGCTCCCTCTCCTTAAGATTCTCTATTTCCGCGCTCAGTCTGTAGACGTCCTTCTTTAAGCTCTCGTTCTCTGAAACTAGCCTTTGCATATTTTCCTTTTCTTTTTCACTGTTATCACAACTCAGTGTTCCCTCCTCCAGCCTTTTTAGGACCTCATGAGATTGTAGCTTCATTCTAGTAATCTTCAGCCTGGACGATGACTCTTTTATTATACTTTTAGTATTCCGCTCCTCGCATACTTGTGCGATGGTCTGGAGCTACCTTTCAACCTTCTGTATTTCTTCCCTTAGGGTTAACCCTATGGCCTTAGCATCCAATGTCTCTAACTCTACACCCTTGTCTTTACGACGGGTCTCTTCTTCCCTCTTCCTCTTTGCCTTGCGGCCCTCTTCATCCTTCTGACCTTGGGACTCCTCTCTTCCTCCCTGCCACATCTTTTCGGGACATGATCCTCGTCTCTGTGGAGGCGTTCTCGCCAACTTATGCCTGCTCTCGATTACCCCCTTGCTGTTTTCGCTCTCCGGAATTTCGATGTCAAGGGCACCTGTTCAGACTATTTGGGTATGAATTTGTCGTTAATCTGATTACTGTGAGAAGTTTATCGGACGATTCTTTATTTTTCTCATACTTCTAGGCGCCATATTATGTCCGCCATCTTAGATTTTTCAATTTTGCCTATTAGCATCTCAAATTACTTGGAAACACGAATTTTTTAAACCGAAAACCATCTTCGTAGGTGCTCTTAAATTTTGGGCACAGGCTTGATCGATTTGACGTGGATCGTCCCATATATATTTTACAATGTGTGACTTTTTATTTGGATGTGATTCATAATTTTAATTTTAAGAAATTAGCCCACATTTCATTTTGATTTGTTTTGCCAATATAATAGAAGCAATTTTGATAATCTCTCCCTGTACATTTGTATGCTTTTTAGAACTGGTAATAATATTTTGTTTCATACAGTATTAAAAAAGCACCATGTGAATATACATATCACAGTTGTAGCCTTTGAATATAAAGGATAAGAGGGTTAAATATAATATTAGCTTATGTCTATAAATTGAAGTAAGGCATCCTATTTTGAGACACATTAAATGATAAACCGACAGAGCAGGGGCATGTAGGAGAATCCAAAATATGGTGATTTAATGCAACTTACCTTTATACTAAGCTGCACCACTGAGAAGTTATAGGCTTTGAAATTGAGGTTTCAAATTTTGCAAAAAATCAGTATCTCAGTTATACTTGAACATAGAAAAACCAAATTTGGTACACGGGGTGAGTGTTCCAAGAGCATTAATCGACAGTAAGTAGAGTTCTATTGAAGTATTTTAAAGGGTTGATAATGGAGGGATGATGCACCATTAAACTGTGACAGAATTTTTTAGTCCATTGGCGGACTTAGAAAATTATTACTTTATTTTATAGGGAATTTAATTCTAAAACTTTTCTTATTCTTGTTAGTTTTCAAAAAGCTTTGTTGTTTACAACAGAAACACGAATAACTAATAAGTAATACGTATTGTAGCTGTGTTATTTAAAATCATCAAAAATTCAAAAGTTTGTTGTCCAAATCACTTTGTTACATAGGTAATGACTTTATTTCTGCCACTATAAATTTTAATATTTTATTGTGATTACCTGGAACAAAAAAATGCAATTTATTGAGCTACTTGCAAATCTTTATTGATACAGTTGAATTAATAATAAGAGAAGTTGAAATATTCAATATCTGTACTTCTTTTGAAGAAACTTATCTTTTATGCTAGAGCAATACTTGAACCTGTTCCAGAAAAAATAAGTAATGGTTTATTATAGTCAGGGTCTTAGTTACTATCGTTTTGAAAAAATTAAACTTTCTTCCTTGAGACAAACACGAATATCTACAATGCAGTGACAAAGAACTCTTAATAAATTGTCAACTTTGTTAAAAATATTATGAGTATAATTTATTTTTATGGTTGGAACTAAAATAGTATATGTGAAATTGTTCAATCCTGCCTCGAAATAGTTACTTTCCTAATCTCTTAACAGTAATCAGTTCTTATAATTACAGTGATAATATGAATAGGCAAAGAAATATGACTGAAGGAATGTATAATGATAAATATCATTTGTAGGGAACCATGTCGTTGTCCAACACAGTAGTTGGATGGTACTCATTCCACCATATCTCTCGTTTTAGAGATAAACCAATGAAACCTTATTCAATGGTGCAAAAAACCGGAAGTGATAAAAACATAACCAGTCATAAATTTACTCAATTTTAATCTATCCTCTGAAACTTTAAATTTATTTTCTATGAATAATAAAATTGTGGGCTTATCTCGTTGATACTTGGCATGCTATTAAACTGTATATTTTTTAATGTTGCAGTACCTAAAATTGAGATTGAAGGAGAGTCAGACATATATGTCAAAAGGGGAAGTACAGTACAGCTGAAATGTGTGATAACCCAGTCCCTTGAAGAACCAGCATACATTTTTTGGTATCATGACGGTGAGCGGGTATTAAAATATGATCAGGGTCAAATAGATATTAGAATCGTAAGGAAAGGTTCAGACACAACTATTAGTACAATCACAATTTTTCGAACAAGGCCAGAGGATTCTGGAAATTATACATGTAGTCCCTCAAATTTAGATTCAGCCAGTGTATATTTACATGTTCTGAATGGTAAGTAGCTTATTTAATATAAATTGCAGTTTTGCTCCACTTAAATGTAGGTACTATGTTTTAATACTAGTAAAACCTACAATACTAGTTTAAATTGTCAGTGTTTTATCGTCAAGCCAAAGGTGAGTTAAGGTAGTCTACATATTGTTGTCGATCTTGCAAATGAACGTAAGTGACAAAAAAAAGTCGACTAAAGTATATTTTTGAATTAAAATTATTTTTCTTTATATTGTTGTCGTTAGAAATGACTCAAATTGCATTTTTGCGGTTCTTATGCCCTTTTGCGTGATCAACACCAATATGTATCTCTAGGTATATAACCAAAGTTATTCATAACTAGTATTATTCTTTTAATTAATATTTTGTCATTTGTCTTATGAAGGAATAAAATGCAGAGTATTTAATTAGAAGATGAATAATTACACAACCACACAAAAAATAATCGTTTTTCGGGTCTAAAGGTCAGCCTGTGTTTATTACATGTTTTCGGGGTCGCTGAATCGGAATCCGCGAACCATTTATCCCCATGTCAAATTTTACCAATAACCTCATATCCCAAGCTGTCAAGTCCTATTACACACAACGATCATGAAAAGAGAGCTGAGTACCCACAATAACCCTATTATAATCCTATACATTCAATCTCAAACCTCCTAACTCCATAACCGTATAATCCCATAACCCTATCACCGATAACCCTGCTAAGTTTGTTACTCAGTAGTGTGACTTGATCTCTCATCGCGACATATAACAGGGCTCAATAAACAAATTTAACCCTATAATCCCCCAACCCTATAACCGCTTAACCCCATAACTTCAATAACCATGTTACGCAGTAGTTTGATTGTTTGATGCAAATAACATAGTGTATATCTTCATTGGCTTCCAATTTCTCATCTCCAGTAGATTCTTGGTCAGTTTAAAAAATATCATGCGTATGAAGTTTTATTTCGTGGGGTCGATTCTGGGGATCCGAAACCTTGTCTCGTACGTCTTCCACCTGTGCCTGCCATGACGGCATGAAAGCCATGAGCCATAGACTCAGCCGGATAACGGATTACTCCGTTGCCCACCGTCACCGCGAGGAGTTACCCTGGAGGCAGACACAGTTGGTTTAGCATACGCAGAATAAAGCTTCATTTGGCATATTTTTGATATTGTCAGAGAATCTACTGGAGATGATAAAACTGGGAGCCAATAATGATATAGACTATGTTCCTTGCATCAAATAATTGAACTACTATGTGATGTGGTTATTGGAGTTATGGGGTTATAGGCGTATAGGGTTAGGGGGTTAGGGGATTTGAGGATTATAAGGTTAAATATATTTTGTTTATATAGCCCTGATATATCCCGTGATGAGAGATCAAGTTAAACTACTAAGTAACGTGTTTATTATCAGTTATAGAGTTATGGGATTAAGGGGTTTGAAGTTGAATGTATAGGATTAGGTTATTGTGGGTGCACAGCTCTCTTACAGGATCATTGTGTGTAATGGGACTTGACAGCTTGGATTATGAGGTCATATGGGGTTATTGGTAAAACCTGACGTAATGGGGTTAAATGGATCACGGATTCGGATTCAGTGACCCCGAAAACATGTGGTAGACATAGACTGACCTTCAGACCCAAAAAAACTATTTTTTTTGTGTGGCTGTGTATCAAAGTTAGATAAGATTCCCTTTTACTTTTTATTTTGTATTATGCTATCGAGAAAACTTTCTTTTATCTTTTATCTAGCCATTAAAAATAAGTTAATGTAAAAACCTATATGCACCTAACACTTTCACATTTATTGAAAACATTCACATAATGGTAAAAAATATTCGCATCATTCCAACATTAAATAACTAAATAATTATCACCGCTTTGTACTAGTGGGGGTTTAGCAAATAAAATTAGGCAGACGTGGGGAAATTTCTAGGCAAGGGTTAAAAAGAGAAATAATAAGAGTTGAAAATTGTATAGAAAATGAAAATTGAAAAATTGGTTGAAATAGAGAGAATTGTTTAGTTATTTAATGTTATATTATTTTGTTTCTTCCATTGCCATATATTTTTTTGTTGTGTCTTATGTTATCAATAAACGTGAAAATCTTAGGGTCAGATAGATGCCTATGCTAAATATTTTGATCTACTAAATAAGAAAATGCTAACTTTAACAATTTTTAAGTTAATGGTGACACAAAAGTAAAACTACTGTATGGGCATCTATTTCTCCAGGACTTTTAAAATTATTTCATTCAAATTGGTAGAGAGAGTTTCTGAGGATGCTAAATTAGAATATAGTATTAATTTTTAGGTAAAAGCTCACTAATATTTCTTTTAAAATAGTAACACATTTTTACCATATCCATTTTAAAATATTAAATTTTTTATTTGACAGCTATTTATGTAACAATTACAGAAAATAGTAAGTTTTAACTTAAACCGACTGCACACGCTCTGGTCTAAGCTAATTAAAAAAATAAATAAATAAAAAAATTTTATGTGCAGGGATGCCATTTGAATAAGCACTCCTAAAATAAAATGCAGAAATGGTAAAGTCTTATCTATTAAAGCTATTTTTTAGGTGTTGGTTAGGACAAGACATTTCAGATGTGTCTTTTTAATGAATAATATTTAGGTCATTTTTTGTTTTTATTTTAGATAACTATTAAATATGGTTTTTATGGCTATGAGAGCTAGTCAAACCTAACACGGTTACAAAAGTATGTGTAACTGAACAGTAGTGGAATATAGATGTGTTTTATACATTTTTTTGTCTCTGCAGATTTAGAGGTACTTTCTGTACTTGCTTGGCTTCTCATTATTTTACATATCTGTTGTGAATATTGTATAATTAAAAACATTACATAATCAAAATGTGTAACATTGCTACTCAGTGACCTTCCAACAACCAAAGAAAATATGTTTAGAAAAATGAAGACTGAAGAGTATTTAATCTTTATAGATTCGTAGGTGCTTTTCGATAACAAACCTCTTTGAAGAAGTTTTATAGAATATTTGGAAATTGCGGAAGCTTATTTACAGACTTTGCAGGAAATGTTAGCGATTAAACTTAATTTTTAAGAAAAAAAATCTTTTTTTAGGTGAGACTGTCGTAAGCGATCGTAAGTACTATATTTAAAAATTTAAAACGTCTTCAAAACTTTGTTAAAATTTTTCTGTGGTCAAATCAAGTGGTCAACGTTAAACAATGAATGATGCGATCAAGAACTCTCACAATAATTACAACATTTATTTTCATTATGATTCTAAGATACATTCAAAGGCTCTTCCCAGAATATTGATATTTGTAAGATTAAGTAGACAAGTAATAAATTATATCATGGTTTTGAAACTCACCATTTATATTTTGGAAATGATAAGTAAATTTTGATTAAAGTAAGGAAAATTTGCCAAATATGGCGAGATCAGAAATCGTAAAGTGCAATGTGAAGGTTGGCGATTATAATTTAATTTAACAATGTATTAGTGTTGTGACGAATTAGAGGAAGTGTGGTTTAGATGCATTGCTTATCAGCTATAACTGTCCAAAGGATATAGCGGGATAAGTATGACGAGTGGGCCCCCAAATGACAACCTATGTCGAAATTATGTTTTAATATCGACTTGATGTACAATCTCTATCATTGAAAGATACAATTGAGCTAGAAAGTTATAACTAACGCGAGGTTTTAGCTTTAAAGAGCATATTTATATTTTTCTGGATTTTTCGAATTACACATTAAAAAAAATAAAAGTATAATAATAATTATTTCAGTGTTCCCTATGACATACAGTAATTGAAATAATATATGTATATTGTAATACTTGGTGTGCACTATCACTCATAAAAGTCCCATTAAAAAAAAAGTTGGTGCAACACTGAAAAAAATCAAATTCAACAAAATGGCTTTAGCGAATGACTTCTGAAATGATAATTTGTTTGGAGCATTGAGGCTTTGGTAATCCAGAAGGTAGTTATATAACTGCATTGAAAATATGTGATATATATATAAACATTCATTTGTATTTTACTACTAATTTTAATATATTTTATTAATTTATATTTATTGCACTTAATATTCTATTAACTTTGAAGTTCATCTCTGGTGTGACCTATATAATCCCTATCTAATTAATACTAGGATTATAACGAATATTTTGCTACCATTCGATGTACTACTTGTTAGGTCAATTTCTTGGTATTCGGCCGAATACCGAATAGTGGTACACTATTTGGTCGAATATCAAATACTAAGAGATTAGTTAGCAAAAAACAAATATATTTTAAAGTAATTAATTTTAAATTAAAATATAACTAAATTTTTTAATTATAACAAATCAGCAATATCCTCTCTATATAATAATTATCTTCATCAGATTAAAGATTTAAATTTTCGTCTAAAATCAAGAATTGTTATCTACATTAAAATTAAAATAGAGATTTTTTTAAATCCTAAACTTAGTGTCATTAACGCTGTGCTTTTTGGCCACAATTTATGTATTGACACAATAATGCTCTTTAAATATCGAGGTTAGGTTGGAAATAGTAAATAGTGCTTAAAGTTCAACCACTACTATTTAGTTTATAATTAAATCAGAAATTTACCAAAATTTTACTAATTAATTTCATACTAAGTCTCCCTATGTCTCTATAATGCTGACTGCTTAATATTATTCAGTTTAATATTCGGTTATTTGCCAGATAAAGCAACCAAATATTTGGTATTCAATAAAACGCTCAATATGTTATTCGTTACAAGCCTAGTTAATAATAATTACTTATGATTGCTTTGATACAAGTGGACCTACGTTTTACATTTGTCAGTCTTTTTAAAATTTAATTACTATATTTTTAAATTATAACAGAATAATGGGAAAATATACTATTCTTGTCTTATCCCCTTAGATTTTATAAAAAAACTCGGTACATATGTTCTCTTCTATTCTGGTGAGCCTTTGAATGTCCTCACAATAAAACATAAATACGTTATAAGTAACACGTAACAACATGTATTGGAAAACATTTTTTTTATCACTGCTATATGAAACGTGAAGTAATCTACCTGTACTGCAAGTAAATTTTTGAAAACCGACCTGTCCTTTCCTTCACTAATAATTTACAAAAACACAATGACAAATGAATGACATATTAGTGTACTTTGTATTTAAGTTCAGATATTTAATAGACTTCAAGAAAACAAATAGAAGACATAAAGAAGACATTCTACTCCACATGAGAAGAATTACAAATACCTTTCTTACAGGACTACATTATTAATAATAGTTTTGTCATTTTTTAGGCATATGTTTATTTTGTAACAAATTAGATTGAATAAAAGAACTTGTATTTTCAATGCAAAATAAATATGTATTTATTTTTTAATTTTTTAAATTAAATTATATAAACAATGTTACAATTTTGGACTGAAGTTATTTTAGTATTTCCTACAAAGTTTGCCATATTACTGTGATATCTGAAAAATCATTAAGACTACCTACTAGTTGGATACTGTGGATGGAATTGTTTGATTTAGCTAAATGATTGCAACTTCTTTCTTTAGTTACCTTTAATGATAATACAGTTACTGTCCTCTACATTGATCTAAGTTTAGTTACTATAGAAGAAGAACTATTGGATGTGATTTGGATATTGCGGCTTAATTGGCCTGGTCATGCCAATAATGAAATATATTACTCGTTTCTTCTGCTGTCAGTATATTCAGTAATTTAGAGGTTCCTATCCTATACTTAAGTCTTGTCATTTTCAAATAAGGTTATGTTTATGCAATATGAACCTTCTATATAAGGGAACAAACATGAAGATTATTTACAAATAATTCAGTGCATACAGCTGTCTATTTAAAATTTTGATATATTTTAACATCATATCTGCAATATTTTATTATTTTTTGGAAATTTTGTGACCATGAGGCAAAATAGGATTCAAAGAACTTCTTACATCAGGTATTGACGGAGATTGAAAGATTTATTTGCTAAATGCAGCAAAGATATGACAAAATGATAGACACTACCATTTTGAACTGACATCATTGAAGATTTATCATAAATGGATTATATTTCATAAATTAACATTGTCTTCTGCTGCCTGTCCAAATAATTATTTTTCAACGTTGATTACGAATTTCAGTAATGGTTTTATTGGCCTAATTTTTGTCAGGGGTATCAGTGTAGTAAATAGGAAAATGGTTATCTTAGAGTAGATATATGTCAAGTCAAGACACTTTATATTATGTTAAGTCAGTCGATATGGACTCTGAAATATTAGTGGGCATTAAATTCATGCAAAAATTAAAGTTTATGTGCTCGCTATTTACCTGATTTCGTGGCAGTGATATTTTTGCTAGATAAATTAACTAAGAGCTGTGTGGGCAGATATACCTTAAAAGGGACCGTAGGGAAATTTAGCCTGCGGTTTTCTTCCCGAACAGCGTATGTATGCCGGGATATCTGTACGAGAATCCCAGTCGAAGAAAAAGAAGATATCGCACCCAGTAGCTCATCAATTTCTCTTAAGTCTTAAGCTATCAGGTGCCTCAAATTTTGTTAATGGTTTACTAATGACATAATTCTAGACAACTTTGCTTATTCTTAAATGGTCAAATGTTTCAAATTTTACTCTTGATTTATTAGTGACTATTTAATTCTAGGCAACTTTCTTTAATAACATTTCTCAAGTCGTCAAAATATATAATATAACAGAGTTAGATATTTTGTGTTACAATATATTCTAGAATCTTAAAAATTGGGAACAAGTATCATTTTTATCGAGGCAAATGTGTAAACTAAATTTTTAACCTTTAATGAAGGATAAAGATGTGCACGATAGTAATTTACACCTCTTACGACTATCGTATAAGGGCCAGTGTCCAGTTTCGTCTAGACGTATCTTTTAGAGGAACGTAATTTATTGTTACCGAACTATGTTTTTTCTTTTGCATTTCGCATTCCAAGTCAGATGGTCTACTTTTTTTTTCTCTAACACTATTTTGTACACACAATACTTCTGGACGAAAATCTGCTCATCCCACATCTGTTTCTTCCTTTTGTTGTTTCACTCTTTCATACACTAATCAAGAACTGAACTGATAATTTGATCCAACATTATATCATTTCTGGGATGAAATATTTATTTTGTTCTTGTCAATTAGGCTATGCATCAAATTTACGGCACCTATGTGATTTGGACAATTTATATCAGTTATGTTTTTTTATTTCCTGTCAAATCTACTTAGAGTAGTTCTTTATTAATTTCTTTTTCTAATGAAAGCACAATTTGTATCCTATTTCACATTACTATACCCAATGAAAGTACTACATATGTTACAAAAGGTAATCTATTGTAGAATTTGTCAAAACAAACGTAATTAATTGGTGTGATAGGGCCTTTGAACTAGATCGCCTGTAACTCGGATATATATTTCTCCTTGTTTTACACAGTATACACCAGTTTACACTTTAAAGTTGTAGACATACCCTGACATTCCGGCAAGAAAAAACAGCTGTATTCCTCATTTATCTGGCTTAGCAAATGTGTACTGTTTCGGATCAGGTCTGCCTTTACATGCTAGTAGGTATGGGGTTACCACTCCACTTTTAGGTCACGCCCATCGGTTTGTTCGACCAATCAGAGCGTAGCATTCAAATTGGTGGTAGATTCAAGTGATGGGCACAAATTTCAATGTATATAGAGAAATGATTGACTTAGCAGAATCGAAGGGAAATTAATGGTAAAATTGCAGCACATCTGTAGTGGATATCACATGGTAGAGAGTGGCGGAAAATTCAATTGTTCAATTCATTGCTTTATATTAAAACTATATACAGGGCGTTTAGTTTAAAGCATTTCACAAGTTTCCTGCCTTCATAAGATTAAAAGGATTTTGGGTAGGTACCTAGGCTACAAAATTTTGGAGAGTGAAATCTAAATTTTATAAATAAAACACTTCATAATGGTTCAAATGGTTTAATTTTTTTTTAATATTCTACCCTAAAATATTAAAAATGTAGTTTTATTAATTGTTATATTATAACCAAATTGAACTTTATTAACACATTGGTCCCACTTATGTTTGCTTTCTCCTAAACTAGTAACAAGAGAGGACAAAATTATTCTATTCATTCTTTCTACTTGTCCGTTTGTCCATATAATAATTTTTAAAAAGTGTATTAATAAGCTAACTACAGCTAGGGCCTCTAATTCAAAACTATGATATCGCTGTTCCTCTTTGCTAGTTTGGCGAAGTACTTTACATGTTTCAAAGGGTTGTGATGTCTTTGTAATAATCTGGCCCCCACTCCTAATTTTGACGCATCTGTGTGAACTTCAGTTTCCGTATTAGGGTCATAAAGAGCCACAACAGGTTTAGTTATTAGCTTATTTTTGAGTGTACTGAAAGCAATTTTCTGTTCTTCTTGCACACAAAAGGAACATCTTTTTTCGTTAAACGTGTTAACCCATTAGTGCCCAGATTATTTTTTTCTGATTTTTTCTGTAATTTTAGTATTTTTTGTTTAAATTATTGTTAAAATTTATAAAAAATCATGAATTTTTGCAACTATATTTTAAGATCCTTCAGGATAAGGTGTTACATATATGTAACGCTAGGAACTACTGGGAGTAAAAAATACGTGTATTCAAAAATAGTTTTATTGAAAATTATACAAAAAAATAAGAAACTAGATATTTAACATTTTGATTAACCACTGTTTGTGTGGTAGAAAACAAAACAATCAATGCAGGGTTCTACATCACATTTTCTGCACTGGGTGCGTGGTGAACTCTTACAAGATCTTCCTGCGCAACGCCTCCTTTTGTCGTTTGGAACTTTTTCGACAAGGTGGTCCATCCTGCTATATCTAATTTCATCAATCACTCCTTGTGCATTAGAAAATGGCGATGGAGTTCTGCCAGTACCTTTGGGAGCTGACACATATTTTTTCAAATAAACTTGCACAATGGAACGTCTAAAATTTATTTGGCTTATTTGAGAATTGTTGGATTTTCGTTATAAACACCATGCATTATTGATTGAAATATCAAGCAGCCATGTAAACAATGGCCAATACCATTTCCTGTTCCTTATTTGGATCCTGTATTGTCCAACATTTTGGTCCATTCGATCTGTACCACCCATTTTTTTGTTGTACTCAGCAAGTAAAGCTGGTCGGTTAACTTGTATGTGTTTTTTCTCCTTTTGCGAGTAACGTCTAACATTTGTCACCGGATGAATGCCATATTGATTGGTAGCAATGCAAACTACAGAGTTATCAACCCACTTAGCTACTAGAATACCATCCGTCTCACTAATAGTGTTTTCGAAATAACCTCTATCCTTTTTTCCAAGTAGCTTTTTATCCGATAAGGGACAGCTCTTGGGTAAACGGTTTTCCCTAATAGTCCCCGTACCTCCATAACCTTTCAAACGTAAGTAGGTTAATAAACTAAAAGTGGTGAATAAATTGTCGAAGTAAAAAGAAAATTGCAAAGGTTTCAGATTATTGGGTAGTTCTTCTATCATTTTAACCAATGGTGCTGCCGCTTTTACGAAGTTTCTTTCAATATCAACATCAGGAGTTACAGATTTTCCTTGATATATTTCGAAATCTATCAAGTAGCCCATTATGGTATTTAGGCATCAGACCTTATACCCAAATCGTATGGGTTTGGCTCTCAGAAACTGCTTACAGCTGTGTTTACCATAGTACTTGACCATACTTTCGTCGAAAGCTAAGTCTTTTTCAGGAACAAAATATTTTCTGCACTTCTCTTTTATTTTCTTTACGAACGGTCTTATTTTCCAGAGCTTATCACCTTGATCCATATTTTCGTTGGGAGCTAAATGCAGAAACCTCAAAATTTGCTCGAATCTGTTGTGCCTCATCGAATTATATACCAGTGCGTTTCTGGTGTCAAAACTTTGTTCCCAATACATCCGCTTGCTAGGTAGATCATTGTAACCGCTAAGAATCAATATGGCAATGAAACATTTCATTTCATCTGGCGACACACCTGGATCGGGTTGGTTTTTGAAGAGAGCATACTTATTTGTTTCTTCTACCAGATATAATATTATTTCTTCGTCCAGAAACATTTCAAAGAAATCAACAATCGATTTGTTTTGAAATGATGAATAATCTGCTTCAGGGAATGATTTTTCGTTGTAGGTGAAATCTCCTGAAATCCAATCTCGAGGGTCAGAAACTTTAGGATATGCTATGTGAGCTGGTGACACATTTATATCATTGATTAGAGGAGCACCATCTTCGAACAACTCTTCTTCAGATTCTTGCGATTGCGTTTCATCCATGAAAATTTCCTCTTCCAGTGTAATTCCCCTAGCAGTTCGTAATTCTGCATCTGCCAGTAACTGACGCCTGCTCAAATTATCTTCATTTCCGCCCTCGTCCTCGTCTCCAGAATCCTCATCTGTAAGAGTAGCTGGATCTGGTGGTGCTATATAAACGGCTTCTATGCAGTTATTTATTTCATCAACTTCGCCAAAAGCTATGTCAATTGCTTCTTGAACAGTAAGACCCTTCCTGAGGATAGCAGCAAGACCTCTGAAATAACGAAAAAAATGTAAATTTTTCATTAACTTCATTTTTACAACACCCTGTATAACAGTAATTTAAAATAAAATTGTTTTATGTGCTCTACAATGAAAATAAAACGTGTATAACAAAATTAAAAAATGCTAACATTACAGCCTAGCGTTACATATATTATGTAACACTGAAATTACAAAGCTAAACACTCTTCTATAAATAAAAATATAAATATATTTCTATACATAAAAGTTATCTCTACATATACTACTATTTTTATACTTACATCAACTTTATTTCACAAAATGTAATAAAGGTACTTACTCTTTGTCAACGAAGTCCATATTTTTTGGGTTTTCTCCTTTTATCGTTTTTTACGAAGCGAAATTTCAAAAAACACACTAAAATAAGATAGCACAATTAATCTAGTGTGATCTCCAATGCTTTCTAACTCGAACTGACAGGTTTTCTGCCAGGCATTTGTTCGTTGGGCGACAAAACAGCTGATTAGATGGCGCCAGTTTATTGTTACATAAAAGTAACGCTAGGCACTAATGGGTTAAGGGCAAAGCTATTGTCGCGAAACCTTCTATATACTTCCTATACTAACTAGCTGAACCTATAATCTGTAATCTATGCATAACCGTGTATCGCCAGTTTTCTTTTTGACAAGCAAAATAGGGCTGGCATACGAAGAAGTTGACTATTGTACAATATTGTTAATAAATCGTCTACTATATGGCGTACTTACATTCTGAATAAGACAAACCTGTATGGTCGGTAAGTCACTGGTTTATCGTCGCTCAAATTAATTGTCATCTCTGTGCTAGTGCTTTTACCTAATTCACTTTGTTGCTACAGCAAAATAATCTCTATATTCATTTATCAAGTTGAGAAGTTTTAATTTGATATTTTAGTCTAGTTAATACGGTTCGCTTAGTGAGAACGGTTGTTTGTTTTTAGAAACTGCTGATAAAACTTTAATAATTTCAGATTCGGTTTTGTGAATGCTTTCTTTGTCTTTATCAAATACAACGCCTCGTGCTACGATTTGATTTCTACTGTACACAACGGGAAATACAGAAATGTTACAAATACTTACACAACCTTGATATGTGCTTTGGTTATACATTTAAAGATGAGATGTTCTTTCATAGGTAAACTTCTTACCTGACCTTCGATATAGACGTCACCTTCATAACTCTGCTTACTGGTTACTGGAATGTAACCCACATGATCTGGCAGAACTTCGACGTCTTCAGCTACTCGGACAATTTTCTTCACCTGAGTGACATCTAACCCTGATGGAGCATCATTCTCGTCTTCCATAATTTGAATCTTGTCCTTCTGTACGATCAAAAGTTTCTTAATGAATTCTTGTGGAATTAACACTGGAACAGCTTGAAGGGAATTTTCAACCACGAGCCCTTTTACATTTGCTTCTGCAACGTCAACTTGCAATAGAACGTTTACAGATTCCACAACCAGTGTCTGTATACCCCAAGAATTATTGTCCGTTTATTTCACAGGTGGTATAATAATATTTGTTGTGTGCACCGACAGTTTTGCACAACAAATTGTTTTGTTACAGTTGGCACTTGTATGTCCCGAGTCTTTTACATTTGGGACATTTTTTCTTCGGTTTTGAACATGCATTTGCCATATGGCCCTCTTCATGACAGTTGTAGCACTTAGGTCTCTCGATATGGATGCACATTCCTATTTTCTTTATTCCTCAGGTGATCTCTCTCCCAAGTATTTTGTTACGGTAAGTACTCGATTCTCAACCTCCTACATTACGATTTGTAAGTGTAGATAAAAATGAAGAAAATAAGGATTCTGGGTTTTCATAACCCCCCACCTTAGCTCCAGTTTGAATTATTTCATTGGGAATACCATATATTATACATGAAACTGCATACTTTTCTGGTAACTTACATGCTCGTATCAGTTCTATTTTGTCAAAGTAATATTGGATACAATTTTTGGTTTCTTCTTTCTTTCGTGCCAACATTGTCCTGAGGGCGACAGCAAAATCTCGATTATCAGGGAAAGCTTTAAGGATGTTCTGTTTGCACTTTCCTCAATCCTCAATCGTATTTGGGTAAATTATCATACCACTTATTAGCTAAACCATTCAGCCGATTTTGCATATTATGTGCTATCATCGTTGCTTGGTTCCATCCATTCGTTTCAGCCATCTGCTCTATTTTATGTATCCACTGGACTACGGATAAATTTGGAATCTCTGGTTCAAAACGTAGTAGGTATGCAATGCAGTTCTTCTGAATGCCAGGGCTCCCCTTTGTTTCAGCAGCGCATTACACATTTGAAGCTCATCCACTAAACACTCTAAGTTGGTAATTCTATCGTCCGATGCACCCGTGAAGGCTCTCTTAGAACGAGGTGCACTTCCAGGACGCTCTCGTGGTGGCGGCGTCCAAGATTCGGCCGTTCGTCGGTCACTTCGCGACTTTCTCATTTTACTAGTAACGCGAGGAGGCAGAGGTCACAATCCCATCACTGCTGTGTTAGTTATTTTAGTTAATTTGGAAATTAAAATTAAATTAACTATTTGTTCAAAATAACATTTAATACCAACTACCGAACTGACTACAGAACAGCGAAGTATGTATATCCAAAAATAATTCCAATATCAATATAACATGAATGAACACTGTGTTTTATAAACAATAATTAGGGATTACTAAGAAGCTGAGTCAGTCCCAGGTGAACTGGTGGTATCGCTGTGAACGCCAAGGTCGCCAAAAATAGTGTCTTTAAATTATGTGATAATAACTAATAACTAAATCCTTTACTTTCTGAGGAAGTGTCGATTTTTTCTTTTGGTTTCTCCCATCGAGGTTGCCACATCTTGAAATAATAAACGGCAGCTACTCCAATGATAGCAATGAGGATGATGAGAGCTGTATATTGGTCCAGGGGTGATGATCTCGCGTAGTTGGTAGTCGTCATTCTGTCCAAAAATAAAGCGAAGAAAAGAAAGTGAATCGGGAAAGCCAAATTTTTTATATGTTGTGGGGGTGTTTAGCTTAACGTTAAAAGCTTAACTTGAGATTGGAGACCAAGATTTCCTATGTGCATTTTTCGCTTGGAAAAAGTGATCAATTCTTGTTTTTGCTGGTAACTCGGTTCTCCGTCGAGATATAGAATTTTTTTTTGTTTTTTGTTTTTTGTTCCTCTTTCGACGATCTACAATTTAAGTCCTATAAACTTTTCACCTATTACTGTTAGTTGTTGAGATATCGAACAAAATAGTTAAAAATTCAAAGATTCGATCTGGTTTTTCGGGTTTTTCTGTTTTTCGTTAATACTTATCGAAAACAAGTCTATTGTAAAACTTGTAGGGGGTGTTTGTACGAACAATTTGTTGTCTTTGTTTTTTCTGGAGGGTGATAGTTGCGTGTTCTATCGCTCCGCGAAGTCGGCAAGTCCGTAAGAAGTTAGATTTTTCCTACCGCGCGCCGCCATCTTGAAGAAAGCGGTAAATTATGGTTTTTGCGATAACTCGATTCTCCGTCGAGATACAGATTTGTTGTCTTGTTATTTTTTGTTTCTCATCCGACGATTTACAATTTAAGTTCTATAAATTTCACCTATCATTGTTACTTGTTGAGATATACTTATAACAAAATAGATAAAAATTCAAAGATTCGATCTGATTTTTCGGGGTTTTCTCTTTTTCCTTAATACTTATCGAAAAAATGTATATTATCAAACTTGAGGATATTCGTACGAACAATTTAATACTTTTGTTCTTTCTCTAAGGTAATAATTGCGGGTTCTATCGTGTCGCGAAGTCGGCAAGTCCGTGCGAAGTTTTTATTTTATATTCGAAATAAAGAACTAACACAGTGAGATTATGTTTCACACGTATGGAATTTATTATACAAGAATGTTTTCGTGTTGAAGAAGTATCTACATCTTCCTTCTCTTCGACGGCCCTGGTTCACAGTCTCTCTGTTGAGGATACTTTTCGAAAAGTGGAGACCATATTTTCTCCAACTGTTGAATCATCTTCGGAATCTAATTCATTGTCACAGATCAGGAGATC